GTGCGGGTCGCATGCGTTACACAACGTTTCGATTCGGTTCAACCTGTGACGACGTTTTGTAAAAATTAGGTTAAGTCGTCTGGCTCTTTGAAAAGGTTTTTTTTTTTTTTTTTACCCCACCGCGTACCTCTTTTATATATGAATCGGTTATTGTTTTAATTTGTCCGAAAATACCTGGACTTCAGGTATTGTATTGTATTGTTAATGAAATAAAAAAGTTGCACATGTTTTTCTATTCCCACGATTAGAGAATCATTCACGAATTCACGTTATTTTTTTATATTCTTTTTATATATATCTGGATTATTTTATGGTTAGGGGGGGGGAAATTGAAAGAATAAAGATGGCGACATGATGTGATAATGAGATAGAGAGAGAAAGAGAGAAAGAGAGGAAGTTGATGAGGTAATTTATTTAAGTCGAAAACACAATGGGTAATAAAAATTTAAGTCGGTACCTATAAGTTTTAAGGTTTTGTATCAGAACGACTAGTTTCGTTTGTGTTATGTATATTAAAAAAAAAAAAAAAGAAGAAGGCCGTACCTGACCTGGTGACGTGGTATTAGATAGTAGTAATTATTATGTTTTTATTTTACATAAACGGAATGTATCAATCAATCAATCAATCAATCAATCATATATAATCGTTTAGTTTTTAATAATTTTTGATAATTTTTCTTTCGCGTTTCGTTTGTCTGGTTCCACGTCTTTTTAACGTTTGACGTAATCGAAATTATTGGTAAATCATGGTTATAACCGCCCTCACGATTTTTATTTTCGATTCGTTGTGTTTTTTTTTTTTTTTGTTTATATATTTATTTTTTTATTTTCTACGACGGTCACGATGAGATTTTAAAAATTTAGGGTTTAAAATTTTTCATGGCGGACCCCTTTGGGAATGGGTTTATTTTTTAAAACGAAGCCCCACTTAAGACGCCGCCCTTAGTATTATTATTATTTTTTTCATATTTAAAGTCGCGTTTAATGCTTGATAAAAAAAAAAAAAAAAAAATATTAAAAAAAAATTATTTTGCAACCCCTGATTAAATTCATCAAAACTCCCGATGCTTCCCCTCTCGTTTTTTTTTCTCCTGCTCTCTTTCTGCCCCCTCCCCCGCCTTCCCCTCTCTCATTTTTTTTCTCTCCTTTTTTTTTCTTTTTTTTTTCTCTCTCTCTCTCTCTCTCGGTCTCTCTCCCTCTCTCTTGTTTTCTCTTTCTCTCCCCGTTTTCATCCTTTTTTTTTCTTCCCTATTATATCGGTCGTCTTTTTTTTTCTCACTCTCATTACGTATTTCCCTCTCTCTCTTTCATTTTTTTAATATTTTTTATTTTATTTTTTAACTCTCTCTTTACTCTCTCTCTCTCTCTCCCCCTCGTCCTCTCTCTTGTTAAATTTCAAATTCAAATTTCTCAAATTATACTTTTTTTTTTTTGTCGTCAATAATCTGAATCATGCGCCGTTTCAAGCAATGCAAATTAAATATTTAAAATCTCCAATAAAATTTTTATAAAATTATTTCATCTTTTCTTTTTTTTTCCCTTCTACTACTACCCTTCTACCTACCTACCTACCTACCTCCCTCATCGTCCTCCATTTTTCCTTCTCCCTCTGTCCCTCCATTTTTTTTATTTTTTTTTTATTTTTAACCTCCCTCTTCCTCTCTTCTCCTTTTATTCTTTTTCCGAACTCCACCGATCTCTCTCTTTCTCTCTCCTTTTCTTTTCGTTCTTTTTATTTTTTCTTTCTTTCTTTTTTTCTCTGTTTTCCTGTTTTCTCTTCCTACTTTTTCCTTTTTTTTTTCGTTTTCGTCTCCTCATCTTCCTCCTCCCCCCGCTTCCCTGTATCCTCTCTTTCTCTCTGGACTTTTTCCCCATTCTACCAACACCGTTACCGTCGCACACTCTTTCCACCCTTTTTCTTTTCTTTTCTCATCTTTCATCCCTAGCAAGTAGTAGTAGTGGTAGTGGTACTCTAAAGCACGGGCCTATTTTTTTTTCACTTTCTCTTTCTTTCTCCATTGTTTATATTCTGACCATTTTCTTAACTGCCGTAAACACGAGTTTTCCTTTTTTCCTTTTTTTTTTTTTTACTGAATCGTTCACTTGCTTTGTTAATGAATTTTTTAGCGGGTACCGAAGAAAAAAACAAAACAAATCGAGGGGTGGAAAAGCTTTAGTGTGATGTCTTTCTTTGTCTTTTCATTCCCTTCACTCTCTCTCTCTCTCTCTCTTTCGCTTTTCCATTTTTATAAATTAATTTAACAGTTATTGATTTATCCGATTTGTAATTTTTTTTGTTGTTTATTATTATCATCATCATCATCGTCATCATAGGCCTTATTTGAAAGAAAAAAAGAGAGCAAAACGTTTAGTATCTTTTTTTTTTAAACGTTGTTTTTTCGTACGAAACCCTTTAGGCCCCCCCCCCCACAAAAAAAAATTATGTTTTAATTCATTCAAACGTTTATTATTATTATTACCATATAAAATGTATTACTGTATATTTCGAAGTCAGGTTTTTAACATAATCAATGTGTTGGTGGCGGCCATTTAAATTTTTTTAAATACGTCTAATTAATTAAGAAGATTTATATTAAAAAAAAAAACCTGTTCGCGTTTGTTTTTTAGAACGGCCCGTTAAAATTTTTATTAATAAAATGTTAATAAGGTTGCCCGTGATGAGGTCCCCCCCCCTTTTTTTTTATATAATAAGACTCGATTTGATGACGCCATCTTCATAATCATAGTTAGGCTTTTTAAAGGGAGAAAAAAAAAGACCGGAAATTGTATTATGTTTATTTTAAAATAATATTATATAGACGACGAGTACCTACAGACTTGGCAGGGTTCGAAACGAAAGGTATACTAAAAGAGAAAAAGAGATAGATAGATAGAGAGAGAGAGAGGGAGAGAGAAAGAAATAAAATTTGATGGATTAGATGGTTTGGTCAAAACTGTTCGTAACATTTTTTTTTTTTTTTTTTTTAAACCCAATCAAAAGAAGCCTAAATTTTTTATTTTTATTTTTATAACATTGTCGTTATTATTATTATTATTAATAACATTATTATCTTTTTAACGTGAACGTCGAATGACTCCAACTAAAAATTTATTTAATTTATAATAAATATCATAGAGTAAAAAAAAAAACTGGTCAGAAATGAAATTACGTAGACTGTTAAAGTTTTTTTTTTTTTTTTTTTTTTTTGAAAAAATAACGTAAATTTTATATTATTATTATTATTATTTAAAGCCAGGTGTTCCTCTATAATATTATTCTCCTCTTTTTTTTTTTTTTATTTATCGTGGAATGGTCCGTTTTTGTTATTGGTCTTTTTTTTTTTTTTTTTTGAATATTAAAAAAAAATAATAATAATAAAAAATATTTTCTTTTCGGTTATAAGTGTGTATATATCACTTTGTGCTCATCATCATCATCATCATTGGTTCTTTATACGCGTCACGAATCACGAACCTCGTGAGGTTGCATCTGAATATTTTAGAAAAAGAAAAAAGGAATGATTTTCGACCGAACGCAATAAAAAAAAAAAAAAAAGTGAAATTAAAAAAAATTTTTTTATTCTTTATGTGACCTTAATAAGCATCATTAGTTCAGGTAGATATTAACAAAAAGAAAAAAAAATTTTTTTTTTTAAATTCGATTTTTTTTTCTCCCCTTTGTGTAGTATTAAACGTTAAACGATTTTGTGTTCGTATTATTATTATTATTATTATTATTATTATTATTATTATTATTATTATTATTATTATTATTATTATTTGACCTCTTACCGCCCTCTAGTATGAGTGAAATTTGAAGTTGCCAAAAATTTTCACCATCTTATTCGATTTTGTGGGAGAGGGAAAAGAAAATTTTGTTAAACTTGATATGCACACACGTTTGATACGCAAATACGAGTTTATCCGTAATGACGTCATTGATGACGTGCGATACGCATACACACAACACGCACACACGACAAATTAGATTGCGCGTGAAGGCGCGTGATGTTACTCTTGTTATGTTATTATTATCATCATTTTTTCTGTCGTTCGTGACCCCAATACATAAAGAAAAGTCGTGGCAGCAACTTTTATTTTTATTTTCTCTATGAGAATCATATATAAGAGCTTAACACTTTTTTTCTATTAGTTTCTCGTATAGATTAAAGTTTTGGGTTTTTTTTTTTTTAAATTTGGGTTGACCGACAACAGTTTGCACGTAACGAAAAAATGAACACGTGTGAATAGCAATCGAAAGAGAAAGGGGAAGGGAGGAGAGAGAGAGAGAGAGAAAGAGAGAGAGACCCTTGATAGTATTATTTAAATTTATTTTATTAATTAATTAATTAAAAAAAAAAAAGACATAAATTGTGTGACTATGAATTTTAAAAAGGCATTTTTTTTTTAAATAAAAAAAAAATACTAACTGGGAGCAGAAGTATAAATTGGGGTGAATTTTTTTTTAAGGGGTAGTACCCTAAAGAGAAGAAGGAATAATAATGATAATAAAAAATATACATGTATGCAAGAGCGTGAGTTAGTATGTATATTAGTAATATTTTTTATTTTGTTAAAAGAAGACATTTTGATAAAAGGTTTCGTTCGCCTCGGAAAAACTAAATTTGTTAGGGTGATTGGAAAAGTGGTCGTTTTTCCATTTTTGTTTACCCGCGATATGTTCAGGTTGCCCTCTTTTAGGTTGCATCTGCTGCCTGTTATGTAATTTTGTTTTGTTTTTTTTTTTGTTTTTAAGTGTTGTTGTTGTTGTTGTTTTTTTGTTTTTGCACTATTGTTATGTTTTGTTTCTTTAATTTTCTATCGTTAACGATTTCCTTTTGATAAGCCATTTTGTTGTATACTCGAATTGGTTTTTCATTCTTTGTCAAATCTATCTTAGATATATATACGACACATAGTCGTTAGGGTAAATAAAAAGACGAAAAAACTAAAAAAAAAAAAACAATCGATAGAATTGACTCAAGTGATTTAAATAAGACATGATTTCCTTAAAGAAAGACAATATGAAAGAAATGTCAGACAGACAATTGTCATCGAACGAAATCGAAAAGGTTTTGGAACTTCAAAATTCGAATTTGCTTCGCAGATTGCCGGGTTTCGGTTTTCCCGATTTCGGATTGGGAACACACGGGTTGGGTTTACCACCGTCGGAAGATTCTAACGTGACTATTTTCAGCAATCATAAAAATTTCGAAGGAATGTTGGAACAGCAAAAAATGATACAAAGTTTATTGAAACACTATCAGAAAAATTTAGTCGCGGATAACACGTGGATGAATTCATCCAAAAGTCTTGACTTGAAGTGTAAAAAACGTTTTTCGACGGGTGATTTAGACGTGGAAATGAGGAGGGAAATGGAGAAACCGGTCAAGGAAAACATTCCGATGGAAGAAGTTAAAAATAAAATGAAAATAAAAAAAGACGAAGATGGAAAAGTTTTTTCGAAACAAAGGAAAACGAATTTCACGTCGAAAGAAGTGGAAACACTTTTGGATTGCGTACGAAAGAAAAAAGAAGTTATTTTGTTTGGAGTTGCCGGTGGGAGAGGATGGGCGAAAGCGTGGCAGGACATTGCAAAGGTAAGATTCACTCTCTGAAATCTGTTTACGTAAATAAAATAAAAATAAATTAAATAAATAAATGTAATTTAATTTATATATATTTAAGGTGGTGACTAAAGTCGAAGGAATACCAAGATCGGAAGGTGACGTCCGGAAAAAATGGACATACTTAAAATGGGAAGCTAAAAACACGAGCAAACCGGGAAGGGATCCGGTTTCGAAACAAGTTTTGAATATTCTCACGTCTAGAGATAGAGAAGTACAGGAAGCGATGAATTTAAGGAATCTGGATTTTACGGACGATGGTGAGTGGTTTTTAAAACCTTTTTGCCATGGGTGTTTGGATGCAGGGAAAAACTCTTGAGAAGATTTCTTCCAGAAAACTTTCTTCTTCTTCTTCTTGTTGTTCTTTCGAGAAAAATCTCAATCGTCAGGCAATTGAAAAAAAAACCCTAGAGAATAAATGCCGGTAGTTTGGTATGTGTGTGTGTGTGTGTGGCGTAAGAAAACATGGCCGTTTTATTATCATCATTATTTTTATTCATTCTCGAAGATGCATACACTCCGGAGCGTACATAGACGCAACAACGGTCGTTTTTCATTCTTTATTTTACACGCATACATTTATGTATTTATTTGTTCGACGCCATATTAATCAAAAATTAATGGATTTTTTAAGTGGAGTAATAAAATGAAGAAAAAAAAAAACATTTTAAGTTACTTATAATTTTAAATTACGTTTAATACGTCGGATAAAACAATTTTCAACCCCAATTTTAATTATTATTTTTTAACTCGTTTCGTCTCTCTCTCTCTCTCTCTTTCTTCTTCCTTCTACTTCATGTCTTCTGGTCGTGATGTTGATTTTTATTTATTTATTTATTTATTTATTACCGGTTTAAAATGTTGTCGAGTCATTGGTAGCAGCAAGGAAGCAATCAACCACTTATTGGCGGTCTAATTTAATGACTTTTCAATTTTATTCGTCTATTCTATTTTTTTTTCGTGCCACATCTTGAGGCAAAACATTAAGAAATGAAACGTGGGGGGGGTGAATAGGGGGAAGAGGTGAGTAGGTAGTAAGAGAAAGATATTCAGTTTCAAATGAGTTTTAAAACTTTCGAAAATAATAATAAACGGGTTAAATTCGAATTCTATGGAAATTTGCTTTTTAACGGATGTGGAAGAAAATAATAATAATAATAATAATATATCGGTTCGAATCCATAAAAAAAAAAAAAAATTGTAATGGAATATCATAATAAATCTCTCACGTTACACCTAAATGTGCCATACCTGAACATGCGATCGTTAAATGTTGATGAACACAACGTAAAGAATGGAAAAGATTTGAATTTTGGCGGGCTTTTTTCGTTTCGTTTCGTTTTTGTTTTGTTTTCTTTGTTCTGGTAGGTGACGTAACGTAACATGCTCAAAGGAAAAATAATCGGTTTCCTGCGCAGTTCGCCATGTTTTCAATTATATTTAGTGTATTAAACACTCGATCGATTATATATACGAGAGCGTTTGTTTTTGTTGTAAAAAAAAAAACAAAAAAAAAAAACAAAAAAAAAAAGGAAACTTGAAAAAATTTCGTTTGTAGTGTGTTTATTTAAGTAGGGAGAGAGAAAAAATTATTATTATTATTATTATTATTATTATTATTATTGATACTAACATTAATAATACCGTTTTATTATTATTTGGGTTTCATTCAAAATCCTTTTCTTTAAATAAAAAAATAATTTTTTTCATTGATAATACGTTGTTCGCGTTTTTGTTACGTACACATACACAAACGTAATGTTAAAAATTTTGACACGCACATACACGCACACGTGCACTCACACACATACATACACACACGCGTAAACAAAAACAACAAAATAAATTTTTTTTTTTTTTTTTTTTTTTTTGCACTCGTAACGTAAACACATAGTAGTAATGTTGTAATTGTCGTCGTCGTCGTCTTCGTTTTCGTTGTTTGTTATTGTTGTTGTTGTTGTTGTCGTCGTCGTTTGTATTTTTTTTTTTTAATTTAATAATTTTTTGTACGATTTAATTTTGTACGCACATGTGGCCTTGTCAATATTATTCGTGTGTAAATTTTTTCGTATATTTATAAACACTAAGTGAAATTATTTCGACAGACGAATGACAGACGACACAAGTATAACGTTAAATTTTTAACGAGTAATATTTATTTATTTATTTATTACCCCCGGTACGTTCGTGTCAAGTTAAATTATTATTATTATTATTATTATTTTTTTTTCTCTATTGGGGAGGGGGCGGTGGTTTTTGCATCGTCACATAAAAATCAACTGGTAATTATTACGTAATTTATTTATTTATATTTGTTTTTATTGTATTTAACCTCTTCGTAATTGTAATACTAGTTATAATAAGAAAAATTTGCATGTTGAAATTTTGTGGTTAGTGGGTAGGAGGAGTAGGAGGAGATAGGGAGGGGTGTTTACGAATGGGGAGGGAAAAAAAAAATTTCCTTCGGTTAATTTTTGAGTATTTGCGATTGTGTGTGTGTGTGCGGGGTATGTATGTAAATAGGGGTAAATTTCAGGGGGGTGGTGATATTGGCATCGAAGGCGTTTTGCCCCGTCGTATACTTGGGGGGTGGATGTTGTTATCAGTCAAAGCGAAGCGTGAGATAGTGGGTGGAAATTGTTTTGTTTAAATGTTGAAATAGTAGTAAAAATTATGGTTATGATTATTATTATTATTATTATTATTATTATTGTTGTTGTTGTTGTTGTTGTTGTTGTTGATGACGAGTTTTTGAAATCTTCTTCTCAACAGGTGAATTTTTTTCGCGCTTACCTCGGAGTCAAATTTCGTTTGTTAATGTTTTTATTAAAACCAATGAAATCAATGAGTAAAGAATGAGTTAGAATTTTTCAAACTGTTTGTTGTTGTTGTTGTTGTTTTGCAAAACTTACCGTAGGAAGGGGGGAGAGGGGAGAGGAGGTTTTTATATAATCGAAAGCATTTTTTCCATCGCAGAAAATTTTTCAACACGCGGGTCGCCTTCGAAATCAAAATAAAAAATGAAATTAAAATATAAAAAATTACTGGAGTAAAAAAAAAACAATAAAGCATTTAAAAGAAAATGACAAGTGTTAAACGTAAAGCGATTACAATCGAAACAAAATTGGCCGTGATAAAAATGTTAGAAAGTGGTGCTAAAAAAAGTGACGTATGCAGACTCTTCGATTTGGTCAATTCGTCGGTCGGATCCATATGGAAAGCGAGAGATAAAATCAAATCGATACAGAGTAAAAACCTAAAGAAAATCCGTAGGCCCACGCACGAAAACCTCGATACGGCACTTATAAAATGGTTCAGGGAACGACAATTGTTAAACCTTCCCGTTAGCGGATCGGGTTTGAAAACGAAAGCGCAAGAATTGGCCAAAAAATTAGAGGTTGACAATTTCGAATGTTCGAACGGTTGGATCGACAGGTTCAAAAAACGTTACGCGATATCATTTACAAGAGGGAATAATCAAAGCGACGAACGTTGTTGTTTGGATTTGACGTGGCTTAAAGAATGGACGGATTTTGGCGGGAAAAACATCAAATACGAATTCGAAGATAGAAACAAGAATTACGGCGGAAACAGTTTAACAGGTATGTTTTTTTTATGTTTGAAAAAAAAAAAAAAACATGCCTCCTCGCATTATTACTATTATTATTATTATTATCATTATTTTAACATGTCGTTTATAATCAATAACACGAAATCAATTTTTTTTTTTTTTTTTTGTTGGTACGAATGTCTAATCTTTGTATATATTTTACAATATAATACGGGGGAGGGGAAGGGAGGGAAGGGGAAAATGCTTTCGGGTATGATAATAACCGATTAACATTATGACGTCATTAATTAAATTTTGTTTTCTTTGCACTCACATATGAGTTGGATCTAATGACACGATTAATATTTTCTTACAATTAATTTCAATGCGTTTGTTTTTTTTACTAAATAATTGTTTTTCCGTTGTTTTTTTTTTGAATCGTTTCGGTTAATTTTTTGTGGTTGTTGTTGTTGTTGTTGTTGCGTTTGAGTAATAATAATGTTTTATCAGTTTTTAACACACACACACACACACTCGAAATATTTATTTATGTGTACACAAGTGTACAAGTGTAGTAAATATAAAAGTTTTGGTAAGGAATTACTCAGCGTAAACAAAAACCAAAAGTGGTTTCCCCCCCCCCCTTTCCTTCTTATTGATAATGAATAGACATTATTGATAAAAGTCAAAAAATTAAGGAAAAAAAAAATAATAATAATAATAATCATGTATTTATTAATGTTGATATAAATACGACTTTCCGTGTGACGTAATGAGTTTTAAAAATTTTGTTGTTGTTGTTGTTTTTCGCTGTTTGTTTGATTTTGCAAGATTCGAATTTAAAAAAATTTTACCTGCGTTTTTTTTTTTTTTTTTACTATAACGCGAAGTGTCTAATTCCACGTCTAGTATCACATTTTCTTAATACGATATCGGAAAATGGTTACTTATATATAAGTACAAATTCAAGTCGTAATTAAAATTATACTCGTTTTCGTTTATTTTGCTTATTTTTGCATGTTTCTCCCCCCCCCCTCTCTCTCTCTCTCTTTCTCTTTCTCTCTTTCTTTCTCCTTAATTTACAGGATTTAAAAAAAAAAAAAAATGGTAAAAATTACGTGATTGAATGCGACGCCATTTTTTTTTTTTTTTTTTTTTTTTGATTTCTTATGTAACACTCCCCGCGTTCATTATTTTATATAAATGACACTTAAATAATATTTTTTTTAGTTCAGTTGAAAAGTTTAGTAATTAAAAAAAAAGAAAAATAATTAATTTAATTTAAATTAATAATAATAATAATAATAACAACGGACGGGAGCAGTAATGCCAATGTCAGTTAATTACATTTTAATTTTTATACAACAAAACAATCAACCATTTTGACGTGTTACCATGGTAACGTGTTATTCTTAACAAATATGGCGGCGTCCGTTCACGTCCACGTAATAAACAAATTTTTATATGCTATCTTATTGATGTTTTTTCGGGTGGGGGGGAGGAAATTTTTTATATAACGAACGTTATTTATTAATTTTCCGCCATTTTTTTTTTTTTTTTTTTTAATACAATAAATATCGAATCGTGAAAAAAAATTTGATGGTTTTGTCTAATTTGATGACGTGGAAAAAATAAATAGGGGAGAGAGAGAGGGAGAGAACTCGGATTTGAATTTTCCCGCGCAAACTTATTTTGTTACGATCGTCGCTCTATCGACGGTTTTTCGAAATACGAAAAAGTGGTAAAACAGCGCGGTGGGTCAAAACACGAAATGTCATTTATCGAAATTTTTTTTTTTTTTTTTTTTTGTTTTTCCATTTTGTTTTTCTTTTGCCCCCCCCCCTCTTTCTCTTTCTCTCCCCCCCCAGTCCCGCCTTTTTCCCACCAACCTTTTTCAATCAATTTTTATTTTTTATTTTTTTCTCTTTTAATTACACGCGTTCGACCTTAAAAAGGGTCAATTCATTATGGCGCAACATCGGATTTTATTATTATTATTATTATTATTATTATTATTATTATTATTATTATTATTATTATTATTATTATTATTATTTTAATGTGCGTATTTCTACGCACTATACGAACACACATTTACGCACACACACGCACACACGTTTTATTTATTTATCAAAAAAAAAAAAATGATTTGCTCTCGATTTTGATGTCGTGATTGATGGCAAAAAAACAAATGAATGAAAATTCGATGATGTATTCTTGGGGGAGGAAGGGGAAAGAAAGGAATTTAAAAGGGAAAAATGATGACGAAAGCAAAAAGAGAGAAAGAGAGAGAGTGAGAGAGTGATGACGTACGATTGTTTGAAAATATACAAAAAAGCGAGGGAAAAAAAGATTAGTAAGATGAAAGTAAGATGGAGTTAGAGTGAATGGAAAAAACGTAACGAAAAAAGAAATAAGAAGAAGAAGAAGACAAAAAAAAGATGTAAGAAAGAAAGAAAGAAAAAATTGTATTCGTTAAAGAGAGAGAAAGAGAGAGAGAGAGAGTGAATTAAATGGGATGCTGCGAACGATATCGATAATGACGAATACGACGAGGGCGTCGATGATGATGATGATGATGGCGGTGATGGTTTCATCGGTTTCGAACGTTTGCGTTGATGATGATAATAATAATAATAATCTATTGTTTTAATTTAAAAAAATTTTCAATATGGCGATTCTTTGAGGAATGATGATGATGATGATGATGATATTAATAATGTGCAGGGAGGGGGAGGAGGAAGAGGGTGACCCACGCAAAACGTCCAAATTTAAATCTAATTAAATGATGCGTTCACTTTATTATCATTATTATTATTATTATTAATTTTACGCGTTTAAGAAAAAATTCTCCATTTTGTTTTTGTTTTTGTTTTCGGTTCGTTTTTCGTTTCTCCACCACAAAAATTTTATTTTAGTACTTTTTTAAGTAAAAACGTCAGAAACATCTGGATTGTGTTTAAAAAAAAAAAAGTTTCCTGGCGTAAAAAATATAATTATTTTTAGATTTTTAAAATTTTTTTGCTTTATTATCATTATCATCATCATCATCATCATCATCATTATTATTATTATTATTATTATTATTATTATTATTATTATTATTATTATTATTATTATGTTCTTGTTTTTTTTTCTGGGAGCTTTGTATACACGATACGTTTTAATAACGGTTGAAATCGTTTGTGAAAATTTTTATTACTTTTTTTTTTTATTATTTATTTGCTACCTCGTTCTCTCTCTCTCTCTCTACCCCTTTTCCCCCCACGATTCGAAAGGGTAAAAATAATAATGATAATGATAACGTAATTGAATTTTTCCAGGTGTAAAAATGAATGACTTTGTTTGTTAAAAAACTTTTAAAAGTTTCACCACGGAAACGAAAAATAAATTAAATGTGGAAATTTTTTTACCCCTTCCTCGCCCCCCACAGTTTATTTTTCATTGAAATTATTATCATTATTATTTTCCATTATTTCCCATACGCGGCGTGAAAGGGAGAATTTTCATTTACGGTTAATTTAATATAATCAATAAGTTTCCCTACCCCCCTTTTTTTTTTTTAATACGGAAAAGCGGAAACGGAAACCTTTTACGAATAATAGGAATGTTGGAATTCGATTTTTTTTTTTTTCAGCCGGAAAACGGCGGATTCCTTGAAAATATTTTCCGGTTTAGGGAGAAAAATTTCTGGTTAAAAGGGAAATTACGGGGGGGAGGAAATGGAGATGGAAAAGAGAAAAAGAAAATTTCTTATGTATTTTGCCGTGGGAGATAAAATTAAGTCGTTAATAATAAGGTCAACGCGGTTATAACCAATGCAATATTTGTTGATACCATGATAATAATAATAATAGTCGATACGTCACGGATACGAATGGCGTCTGTCGGTTCGAACAGAAAAAAAAAAAAAAAAAAAAAGGTAACGAAAAATAAAAATGATGGTGGTAATACTACCCTCTCGCACTCGTCGTCGTCGTACACCACCGCCCTCTCAAAATTTTCGCCATCTAATTCCACTGCATTTGGCAGCCATCTTAAACGAAAAAAAAAAAAAACGCCGCCATGATTGATGACGTAGAACGGTCAACGTAAATTATTTATGTATATACAAACGATCGATTGATTTAAAAAATTCGAACGCGGCGTTCGGACGTTCGCGCGTAACTGAAAATATTTACGCGGGGGAGGGATGAAGGGAAGGGGAGGGAGGCGACAGTAAGAAAAAATTTTTTTTATTAAACGTTTAAATGATTAATTATTAGTTGAGTCATTTTTTTTTAAAAATTAATTAATTATTATTATTTTTTTTTTTTTTTTGAAAAAATTTCTGTCGGTATTCTAATACGCGACAAAAAATTATTATTATTATTATTATTATTATTATTATTATTATTATTATTATTATTATTATTATTTGTTATTGAGTTAAATATGATAAGGGGAGTGGTATCCGGTTCTTTTTTTTTTTTTTTTTAAAAAAATAGAAACGATAATAATTTTTTCAATTTTTTATTTATTTAAATAATTCATTCGAGCATAAAAATAAAAAAAAAAATTATTTATTTTTAATTTTTTTATTTTATGGATTTCCAAAAAAAAAAAAAAAAGATGGAATGTCTGATGACACGTTTTTTTGGGAGAAAAAAATTTAAACAAAAAAAATTTTTAAATTTCAGCCGGGTTATCACATTATTTGACTTGGTTTTGTATTTCCTTTTCTTCCCCCATTTCAACGTACACACACATATAAAAAAGACGTGGCGGTAGAATTGGTCAAGGGCGAAGTTTTGTTACGTCATAATTTCTTCCCTTCATTTCTTTGATTCGTTTTAAAATTTTTCTATGGTTTTTTTTTTTTTTTTTTTTTTTTTAGGGGTCTGTCTGTGTCGAACGAAACCTTAACCATTTTTTTTTTTTAAATGATGCATGTGAGAGTAGTAAAAGATGATGATAACGAATGAGAAAGAGAGAGAGAGAGGGTGAGAGGGAGGGAGAGAGAGGGAAAAAACGTTTGTGTGCGTTAAAGTCAAGGGGAGAAATGAATTGATAATAATACTAATACTAATTTGGGTCGATTTTTTTTTCGGTAAAATATTTTAAAAATAAATTTTGAAATTAATTAATTTCACTCTCTCTCTCTCTCTCTCTTTCTATCTATCTATCTATCTCTCTCTCTCTCACTCGCTCGATTTTTTTTTTATTTTATTCGATTTAACGAAACGAAACGAAATTTTTTTTTTTTTTTTTTTTTTTTTTGGGTAGAAAATAAATAAATAAATAAACGAATTAGAATTCTAAATATAACGATTTAAAAAAAACGACGCCATTTTGATTTTTATGTAACCGTGAAACAAACAGTCAAATTCGAACGAAAAAATCATCATCATCATCATCATCATCATCATTACGAACGGGAAATAAGAAAATGAATTAGTTATTATTATTATTATTGATTTTATAATTTTTTTTTTGACAATTTAAATAATAATAATAATAATTTTCGGTCATTCGTAGGTCAATCGTTACATTTTTTTCTCAAAAAGTACCGAAGAAAATAAAAAAAAAAAATCGATTCTCGTTAAATAATTGATGATGTTATTTTGTAATCGA